CCCTCCGATTAATTTATTAATGGGCTGGGCCATATGCCCGATCAATATGGGCCTTTGTGCTCAATTCTAAATGCCAAAATTTGTGGTCACTAGCAAAAAAGGTCACGAGTTGTTGCTACTCGAGAAAGTACAACAATACTTGTAACTTGTAAAGTTTTGCAAGTAATCATCATTCAGACATTAACATTAAATATGTATGTCAAAAAAGTTTATAGGTTTCCATTATTTCTCTTTATTTGAGATTTCGAATAATGAATTGTATACAAGCATGAAACATTTTTTATTTGAGATTTCAAATAATTTACATTAATCGTGGCGTAGCACGGATAGTCACCATACTAGTAAAAATTTTGACTTTTAAGAGAAACAAAGTATCATTGGTAATTTTTTTAAGCGACTAAACAAAGATCTTTCTTTTAATGATTCTTTCTAGTTATGTGAGTTGTAAATTAGTAAATTAGGAAAAGAGAGTTGTCTCGACTTGACGAATAGAAATATCATGGTTTGTCCTTATTTTTTAACATAATAGAGCCTATGAAGCTATCTTTAGACCATCTGGTTTTGACTATCATGGTCTTCCTTCTCTCTATAACCAATTTAGATGATACTAACTACCAGTCGCTCGTATCTTTCATTTGTTCAAAAGAGTTTAGGCTGAATGCGAGTGATCTCAACTACCCTTCAATGGCAGCCATATTTTCAAAAACGGAAAAATGTCCTATTCAATTTCAGATATTCTCAAGAACAGTCGCCAACGCTCTGAAAAACAAGGCACAAGTGGTGTCCATGGATCTAAACCGAGCGTCAAGGTCGAGCAAGACATATTCTTGTTTTCACTCATTGAGCGAGCACAACTCTTTCATCGTTACAATCTCTGGAAAGGATCTTTCATGCAGGTTTGGTCGGATGGATCATATGTTGTGTATTCTTATATATCAACAAGAACTTGTCACATAGACTGTTCGTTATTCAAATGTTCCAACAAATCCATCAAATATATGAGAAAAATTAGGCATTTGGTAAATAAAAATACTGGTAAATACTCGCTCGATACCGAAACTGGTGGAATTTAGTTTTTTCCCCAATATTCTAATAATGTTATTGAGACTCTAACTGGTGGCCACTAAAGGAACAAAATGAATGATGAGAAAAAATAATGAAAGGAATGAAAAGGAACAAAAATTTTAGGAATGAGAAAGAATTGTAAAAAAAATTGGTTCCTTATCAAACTTGATTAGGAACAATTTTGTTTTTTAAATTTTCTGC